GGAAATACTGCGTCACTAGGCCAGTTCAATATTTCAACACTTACAAGACACAGAGGAACAAACTGAGGAACCGAATCATGAAAACGCGGCGGAATTTCGAGAAGAATTTGCTGCAAAAAGCAACGCAGAACCCAAAATTACTCTACAGTTACCTCCGATGAAGTAGAGTGAACAGACCTCAAATCCCCTTAATAAGGACTACTGATGGCGATGAGATCGCTGATAGTAGGGATAAAGCTGCGTATTTTTCACGGTTTTTCCAATTAGTCTACAGAAACGAGGCAAGGTTCTTTCCTCCCTCCACAGAAGAACTGCCGACTCCAGCGTCAGTGATGTACTTTTCTCAGAAGACATTGTCCGAAGAGAATTAGTGGCATTTGACGAATCGAAGTCGCCAGGACCAGATAGGATTCCACCAAACTTCTCAAGGAACTTGCCAGTGAGCTCTCTGTGCATTTGTCGACGCACTTTTAAACATCATTTGACCCTAGAACACTTCCTATCGGTTGGCAGTTGGCGGATATTATTCCGATGTATAAAGGGGTTTGCAGGGCATCGACGACACATTACAGACCCATAAGCTTGACATGCATTCTCTGCAAAGTTATGGAAAGGACCATTGCCACCCGCTGAAACCTCATCAGTCATCTACAAAATAAATTGCAATGAGGGCGACTGCAACTATGTGAGCGAAACCGGGCGGAAATTGCAAACTCGCCTGCAAGAACATAAATCGGCCACTCGGAGGTTAGACCCTACAGTGAGTTTCCTAACTGATGAAATGTTGGCTGAAATTCTGAAATGCGTTTTCAATTAGGATGGATTACTTGGTCGCGGTTGTAATACTGAGTACCTTGCGGCATACTCTTATAACATTTCGGACTCGGCAGGATGTCGGCTTTTGAATGCATTTCTTTTCAATCTCCTATAGAGAGCGTACTCGGTAAAAAATGGCTAATAAATTAGCATGCATTTTTCCCATTGATTTTCGATGGTCTTGCAAATTCAAATATATTTTACAGAAACCATAAATAAAAATATGCTTCCTTTAGTCAATCAATAGAGAATCACGTCTTCTTTATAATTTATACTTAAGGAAGGAGTATAATTAGGTTTTTAAAAAGTTTTCCAATTGCTTAGTAATTTGGAGCCTGATCATTCGTGGCACTAGCGCTTAGTAATTTCAGTCTGCAAGGTGTATGCGTTCCGCGTATAGAAACTCACATATTTTTCTATGCCATGTAAGAGATATCATACAGAGTCCATAAAATTTTGCAATGGATGCGGACCATGTTGTTCATTTCATGAGAAGCAGTAGTAAACGGCCAGGTACGATGCTATGTGAATTGACATTTCGCGGTCTTAAAGTCTCATAATTAGAAACTTTTTTAAAACCTAATTATACTCCTTCCTTAAGTATAAAATATAAAGAAGACGTGATTCTCTATTGATTGACTAAAAGAAAGCAGATTTTTATTTATGGTTTCTATAAAATATATTTGAATTTGCAAGACCATCGAAAATCAATTGGAAAAATGCATGCTACTTATGTAGTCACTTTTTACCGCGTGCGCTCTCTACAGGAGATTGAAAAGAAATGCATTCAAAAGCCGACATCCTGCCGAGTCCGAAATGTTATAAGAGTATGCCGCAAGGTACTCAGTATTACAACCGCGACCAAGTAATCCATCCTAATTGAAAACGCATTTCAGAATTTCAGCCAACATTTCATGAGATAGGTCACTCACTGTAACCCTCAACTAGCAACACACGTTGGAGAAACGGGTCATACTTTTGACCTCCAGAGTGCTACCATCTTAGGCCGAGGCAACACAAAAACAGAACGGCTAACTGTCGAGGCGTGGTTCTCCGATGGCCTCTCTATCAACAGGCATCTGGACCTTCCTGAAGCTTACAATGTCCTACGTCATCACAATCGTAGAGCTCAGGACCAAACAACCACACCGGACTTCAGAAGGCCGCATGGAGATAGCCCGACGCTGAGCTTACTCGGTGATGAAGAACGAGAACCGCCAGACCGACAGGCACGCAGTCCACATAGCCTTCATCGACTTCCAGAAGGCGTTCGACACTGTGCCACACCAGAGGCTGTCACATAAACTAAAAAAATGGGATTGGTGACAACTTCCTTGAGTCAACAGCAGATTGTGTGCATTGGTCAAGGGAAATCAGATACTGCTGTCGACGAGAGTGGTGTCGCCCACTGTTTAGTGCTGGGACACATTTTGTTCCTTATCTACGTGGACGATGCCGCAAGAGCTCTATACTGCTTAGTAGCAATGTTTGCCGACGACATGAAGGCATGAAGTGTAATTCCGGATCCTGCCGACGAAGAAAGACTGCAGGTTAACCTGAATCGGTTGGAGGAGTGGTCAAACCGTTGGTTCCAGCGGTTCAGCGTTGTAACATTTAGCATAATTCGCCTAGGCGACACAGCCAGCTCCACCAGCACAAGAGACTACTTTCTGGGTGGTGCAGCCCTACAAGAGGTCGAAGCCCAAAAGGACCTCGGTGTGCTGACGACGAGTTCCCTAAAACCACCCACCCATTGTTCGAGAGGGGCAAAAAGAGCAATGTCCGTACTCTACGCCATCAAACGTGCGTTTATGGACTTTGACAAAGATGCCTTCTCTAAGACATTCGAACATTCGTGCGGCCGTATTTAGAGTACGGCATACAAGCCTGCAGGCCGTGGGCGGGTGAGGATCAAAACTGCCTCGAAAGAGTTCAGAGGAGAGCCACGAAGATGGTTAGTGGTCAAAGCTCCTTTCCTTATGCAACCCGCCTAGTAAATCTAAACCTCTTTCCTTTGAGTTACAGGCAACTTCACGCGGATCTCTTGCAAGCCTTCGCATTGTAAAGGGTGGGATTGCAGTCTGACCTTCGAGGACTTTTTTTGGATTTGCAACCACGACTAACCTCCGAGGTCACCCGTTTAAACTGCGCACTCAGCAGGAAGGCTGGATGTGCAGAATTTATCCTTCTCTGTTCGAGTGGTCAAACCATGGAATGCCCTTCCCGCAGATGTTGTGATTTCACCATCTATACACAGTTTTAAAAAGAATCTTGACATATTTATGTTCCGCAATGACCAAGACCGATGAAAAGTTGAGCTCACCCCCTGTAAGTCGTTATCATTTTGTCCCACCATTATGGGCGTGTTGGAACTACTTCAGTCCCGGACATTTATCTGTATACCACACATTTTTTACGTTGCAAATAGGGTACTCAAAGGCTTACGCCTATTTCCCTCAATAAACTGGACTGAACTGAACTAGACTGGTTGGCCTAGAGGCGTTACTTGTTTGGTCTGGCATGCGAGAACTGCGATGACATGTAAAGACGTTCTCCGGTCAACGGTGCATGAACATCAATTGTTCTCGGAGTTTACGGGGCTTCTAGGCGATTCGGACAAGATTCATGAATAGACGAATTGGCAACAGGAAGGAATAAGAGTAATCAATGCGTGTTAGAATAGCACAGAAGATTAGTTACTACGGTGATCGAGCATAAGATACGTGGATTAGCAAGTGATAATGCAGCTCCAGTGTCAATAAGAGCTGAAGTCGGTTTCTTGTCAACGCTGACGACGATGTAGATTGATGGGTCATCAGAAGAGAGAGAACAATTAGGAATACAGATTCTACCGGGTTGCTGGTACAAATGTCTTTCTGGTAAATGCTGCGGCCGGACTCCAAACTGACACTTAGAGTCGTGAAATCGTGTTGTCTGCACGCTGCGTGGGCAGTATGGGAACCCGTGCCTAACGGCATTATTAGAAGCTTGGACAAATCGTCGTGGAATAAAACCAGAGGTGGTTGTCATCTGTGGGCGTTAAGGTATCGGCATCCAAAGTTGCATTGGGCGGCCCCGGTATTTCTTGACCTGAATATGCCGATCAGCCCGCTCGATATCGTCCTCTAAAAATGTTAGGGGGTGGGTCATGAGTGAGTCAGCATGGGCGCGAGAAGACGGCCATTAAATAAAATGATGGATGGTGACCTCCTCGGCGTTCGCGGCAGTCAAAGAACGATAGGCCTCCTGACATAAGCTGAACAGGTCGCAGGCGAACAGTCGTGGAGTCTCGTGCGATTGCTGTCGTCGATTTAGGAATTCTCGATAGACTGTCCATATGAAGGTATCTGGGAGAATAACCGAAGCAATCGGCAGCAAAGAGTTGTGCAAGGGTGTGATCAGAAACGACGGAATCAAGTGCTTGCAGTAATTGCCGGCTTGCCAGATGTTTTAATAACGTACGGCTTCTTCCAACCTCTGTTAACTCCTCTGAATAAGGACTTAGAAAGTTTTTCCGATTCCCCAAGTCCTCTTCCCCATCGAATATGCGGAATGAGAGTGGGATAGCGTGACTGGAAAAAGCCGGTGGTCGTCTAGGACTAAGTGAGTCTTGCGTATGCGCTGCCATCAGTGTAATATCTGGGTTGCCTGTCAATTTAGATTCGCCTAGATTAGCGTCCTTGGAAGGCGACTGACGTTGGTCGTCAACGGGGATGACTGTAGACATGTTTACTTATAAATCTGTGTTCATGATGTTCGTACACACTCAAACACGCAGATTCTAAGAGGCAATATTTAAATCAACTCGTTAACGACTGAGCGTTAACTAAGAAGGTCTGAAGAGGGAAGTGGACCACAAGTAACTCGACTCGAGGAAGCAGAGAAGAAAATCCGAAGTAGAAGAGAAGCCCTCCTCCAATCTATTCCTCCTCTGGTCGAGATGTCGAGCCGCGCAATTCTTCTGTCAAAGCGTCCGGTCCATACTTCATCAATATTGCTTCAAAGGAACCGGAATGTCGCGCGGGCAGACGTTAACAAAAAAAATTAAAACAAGTCGAATTGAAAAAATGCTTTACCGTTCGACCAATCACCTGATTGTCCGTGGAACCATTCCGCAAAACTCGGACGCAAAAATCCTGTGTCTTGGTATCGTATGTGGAAATAGGGTCCTGACCATGTCACAGATGAGAGCGGTGGCAGACGACTTCGATGCCACAGAATTAAAGTTCCCTAAAGGTAACATAATATGCTCATTCCGACTTTTGAAATAAGAATTTGAAACAGCCGACACGTTGATGATGTCCGAAGTCAAATTCCTTCTAGAGCACAGGTACGCTTGTCAGTTATTGTTTGGCGATCTTCCCATGTAAGGAAAGAACAAAACGAAAATAATCCCATTCACGAGCTAGAGTTGTCCAACAACTTTGTCAAAACCTTAAATTATACAACGCAGTTTTCGAAGTTCAATAACCGCGAAACCATTGATAGTGTACGCAGGTAAACTCCGATTGAAGTGACCTTCCCGCAGCTTGCTAGTTCAGAAAAGATTTCACAACTTTGAGCTTGCCGCAATTGCTAATCTTTTGCCCGATACTGCAGAGGAAGCCCGGGCGCTTATCCCAAGCCTCGAGAGTCCCCGTTTCCCCGAGGACGAGCTTCAGCAAATACTTGATGAAATCCAGTCCAAGCGCAGTTTCCAATCTTAAGGATGTAATCATCATCTGTGTAAATATATCTCCCTTTTGATATATTGCCCGTCTTAGTTCGGCCTGATGTGTGCCCCTTTCCTTCGTCTTTTCCAAATGCTTAGGGGCTCTGTCCCGGGTATCCCAACTACTTGCGATGAGATATTGCAGAGTGGTTGTCCCTGATAGTAAACTATATGAAGGCGATGTTGAGTAGATATCTATTTTTTAAGATATGTCTGTCGAGTAAATGTCGATTTTACCGACCAAACTGATATCGAGTGGATACTGATTTTTTGACGTATTACGGATGCAGCAAAAACATTACGCACGCATCTTTTACTTAGCACAATATCCATACTTTCCTGACCTTAACCCATTATTGTGCGTGTGATTTGAACGTCCACTGCATGACAACGCCAAAGACGGACAGTTAAGTTGGCAAATATTTATAGAAAAGGTGAGAATGATGTGCATGCGAGTACTTAGTTCATCGAAAATTTTCCCGGCTACCCGTAGGGGCTACCTGCAAATTGTACGAAGCCCTCAACAACCTTTCCGGATCTGCTGGTCGTTCGGTCACGAGCGCGCTCAAGATATCTAGGTCTCAACCGTGAGCGTGTTATATTGCATTGTAACGCCCAACCGTGCAACTTTCTTCCGTGTATGCGACTCCTTCGGTGTTAACAGTCAGTTTTTTCTGCGTCCTCCAGGCATACTGTATGAGTACATTTTGCAGCACTTACCAGAAGTTGTGTTTTTCTCGTTTTCTCCAAATTCGAGGGAAACAGTGCATCTAACTGAGCGAGGAGTCATCCAGTCTGCGTCTCTTCTAAAGTCTTCCATTTATTGGGACACTGCGCCTACATAGCGGGTCCGGCGTCTTTTTGTTCTCTCTGATTCCTGTCTTAACATTATTAGCAATAGCGTCACGGCAATAGAAATCAATCAGTAATAGCCAAGGGTGGGAAGTGCACGCCAAGCCGTTCGCGCGAGATAATAGGCGTAGGCGCGTGCGGTGTCGCAACGCAATTGAAAGACGGCAACCTACCAATGACCAGATTACATAGGATGGGTAACCGATGACGTGTCATAAATAGTATCTCGAGAAATCGCCAGTTCCAGTATATACCTACTGATATCGATTGCTGCCGGAGTGCATTAACGTCTAAGCATACCTAGACCTCGGTTTGGACATTTTGGTGACATGGCACACATCATTGGCAAGGTCAGTCGCACTTTTCTCTTCACTCAGACGGAAGGTTGCAGAGAGCCGTCAGACGCGAAACCTGATTGGAAAATCGCAAGGTTCCCCACGATCTACAGCGGGTCAACAAGTAGTTGTCCATAAACGTGGGAAATAGTGAATACTCTGGTGTTTATATTTCATATCTACTGTGAATACTCGATTTTATCCAGAATTCCCTGTAAAACTCGTGTATCAGGTGTCTAAAAATTGCCATTCCGTCAGCGGAAACTGACGAGTTCAGCCACCATAGTTTGGGGACGCGGACGAACAGGATGCCAGCTGGAATTTCTAATCAGAAGTTAGATTTTACCGTTGGATGCAGGGATTTACGAACGTTTCTCGGCTTCGGTTCCCAAAAGTCTGACAGCGCAGTCTTGACTGATGCAGCATGGATTCCTGTCTCTGCTCTGGGGTCCGGATTTAGGACTCGGCCTGCCGAAAAGTCGGGGTTCCTGAGGCAAGGTGTAGTCCTCTATATTGACTAGCACCGATCAGCTTGGGCCAGGCGACTCTTCGGTCAACCACTCAACTAGGCCCCTTGCATATGGTCCACTATACGGCAATGGCAAAGTTTGCTAATCGTTCCTAACGGCAACCGGCCGTTTGTTGCCATCATGTGCTTCCGGCAACACCGCAACTACTTTCCGATCTGGTATTTGAGTTTTGTTTTTGCCACCGGTCATACTCATTACTTTGTCAAACATTTACAACAGCTCACCAAATTCACAAGATTGCAAATCAGTAAGCTACTTGAGCATTACGCCACGTGGCCAGTAGAAGTGTTTAAATAATAAACCCCGCACCGTGCAACCGTGAGGTATCACGTGTTTCTAGAGTGGGATTACTTTCTACGGACATTATGCGTCTCAGGCTGGTGTTTGTAAGAACATCGTTTGGAGCCTCGGACGGTCTATATCAATTTGAGGCTACACAGATGGGTCATGATAATGGACCGGTGCTTTGTGTCGGAACTGACAACGCCTCTTTGCCGAACCATTTCTTCACTCACGTATCTCTGGAAGTATGCCACTCGTCTGCGCCCAAAATTCTTCACGAAAGATGCCTTGATGCTGCAAAATTACAGCGATTCAGCCTAGTACTTGTCCCGCAGCCAAAACAGGGGGAGGCGGCAATCGTCACTAAGGTTACCAGCCTTTCCGGCATTATAAAGAAATTTTCAAATTCACGTCACGGCGTCGTAGTGACTGAACCAGGCGCAAAAATCTTACAGTTGTCCGTCTAAAGTGTCCCAATTAGGTCACGTAGCGGCGGTTCCTTCCGCCTATTTCGTAAGATAATCTAAAAATCATGTAGAAAACTCAACAAGCATGGATGACTTTCGAAGAACCTGACGCCATATTTCCCAAGTGCCTGGTCGATCTGCACTTAATAACTGTCCACGACATGAGTGGCAGAACTATTGATGGCAATTGGACTGAAGTCTATCAAATCGAGCTATTTCCCAATTTCAGATCCCAATCAGTCACAATCTCCATCTCCCCAGGCGAAGACTTCTGCGCTCCCTCGGTCAGTACTGCTTTTTGCGACCAACGTTTTCCCCTGAGAGGTCACTGAGACAGTACTGACACTGCAGACATTAGGCGTCGGGGGGGAGGTCGCGTTACTGTTTGAATCTAGAGGTCTTCTGCCAGGACCGACCCACTGACTGAACAAGTACGGGAGAACAAAATCTTTCCCGATAAGTGTACCAAGAAAAGAGATCTCATGAATTGCGAGAAGTGCCGCGGCACAGGTACATTGGTATGTATTTAATTTTCCTTCCCAGTCTCATTCGGAGGCGGCTTAAGCATCCTTACCTGAAAACGAGATTTGGTTAAGCCGTATAACGAGCTGGATGCGGATCTACCTACCAAACATGCACACTGCGACGCCTTTTTGAGTTTTGCCATGGCTACTAGCAACTGATGGCGGTCCGCTCACCATTTTGTTCTGCGGTCTTCGATTCCGTTCGATGTGGGTTCCTCTCGCGTCCAGGATCCCCCCAGTCTAAGCTAATCATCGAGTGTATGTCCTAGACCGTTGAATCATTTTAATTGTGGCACATTTACACTAGGACGCCGGCTAATTTCGACAGTGCTAGAGATGGCGCTCTTAAAGAATGTAACAATGACGTCCAACGCAGTTTTCGTATATTAAAAAGGTCGCGTAGTTGTAAATTATTTCTATTTGCTCTAAAGTTTGCAGGCTGCGGTTCACAGATAGGATTTTGACGTTCCATCAGACTGAGTTGCGACCTCATGAGAGCAAGAATAAGGAACACATTAAACGGCCAACCGCTCTTACAGATACTGCCTGCTTTCCAAAATAAAGTAGACGCTTCCCCCTCCCTGCTGTTAGTAACCTAGGGGTCCTTGTAGAAGCTTCCACCGCTAAAGTCCGCTGCGCGAAAATAACTTCACCCCAAGATACGGTATTTTTAACGTGCTCTCTCCCAGGTTTCGCCAATTAAATTGGGTCTGATGGAATACGCAAATCTACCAAGAGCATTTATTAATTTAGAATGTGAGAATATGGACGGGATGATGAAGCTTATCTCGCAGATGCTACTAATGGTATTGAGTCTTGGGACGGCCGATGCAAAGGCCACTTCCGACTACCGGAGTATATACTCAGGACCTCGGACAAGTTGAGGTCGGCTCGACATAATCTTGCTGAGTTCAGTCAAGTGCTGAAGCCGAGCAGTTGGATGTGTTTGCCATTCCTCCGGAAATTGTTTGAGGAATCCAACTTTGCGTGAGCAGCGATACTTCTCACCATCATGCCCGAGGCCAACAGGCTAAAACCATCCGTAGTCATTTGTCATCACGACTGAGTTACCGTTTGCTCGTCTGAAAGTGGCTGTGGCCTTCTTATGACACGGCCTGGTACTCAGAAATCATACGAAGCGTGTGCGCACTTGAT